AACCACCCCCCCAGCGGACATCCCAATAGTAGCTTACAGTGTCGCGAGAAACACATTTGCGCAGGCGTTAATATTTGTCTCAATTTATTTACTGACCAACACGTGGTGTTTTAAATTTTAATTAACGTTTAAATAAATAATAAGTTTATTTCTGATCTAATATTAATTTTATTAATCGATTTACCTGAATCTGTATTCATTCTGATTGAAAAATTGTGCACTGGACTGGGAAGTAAGTGTTCAAATTAATTTTGATATAATTATATTGAACATAACGTACAATTTTTGACCAAAAGTATGCACTTAGCTATTATTTTCTGGTTCCAAACCTAAGAAATATTGTATATTGCTAAAAATATAACTATTCTAGAAAATGTCGGGTAATGAGCTTGATGACGAGAGAAGTTGCAAACCACCAGAAATGAGAGAAACCGCCAGAGAAATTTCTAAGGATTAACTTCCTAAACAGTGTAAGGAAGTGTATGAGGAGGCATATCGAAAATTCGTGGAATGGAAGAATGTCAATAAGGCAATTACTTTACAAAATCGCCTTAAAGTGCACTTCAAAGATCTTATGAAAATGTATAAACCGTCGATAATTTGGTCCATACACTCGAAACTAAAAACTTCAATTTAGATACACAAAAATATTGCGATAGACAATTTTAAAGAGTTAACAGCGCTCCTTAGTTAAGATTCAAGAGGCTATCAAGGAAAAAAATCTGAAATTTTTACGACACAACAAATTAATACGTTTTTGGAAACTACATCCGATGAGATTTATCTAACATAAAAGGTAAATAAGAATAAATAAATAAATGAAAGCTCAGACTATCTTAAAAAATAATAATAAGTAGAAAAAATTAATACAACATAATAATAAGTATAAATAATAACAGGCAGGAGTTTTAAAAATAAATATACACAAAAATAAATACAATATTTTACAAAAATATAAAAAAATATAAATAAAAAACATGCATATAACATATAACATGTATAAATATATACAAAAATGAATACAGTAGGACTCCGGTTATCTGAGCTAATGTGGACCGGACCTACCTCGGATAAGGCGAAAACTCGGACAATCCGAATTGTTAAATATTTATTACAATTTAACATTATTATTGTTTAAACAATTATTATTTAATACAAACGGAAAAATAATATTGTAAATATTCCATAATAATTTAAACAATTTGAATTTATTAAAATTGAACTCATATTTATAAAAAACTAAAATTAAAAATAACTCGGATGACGCGGACTAGACTCGGATAATGCAGAATTTCCTACTGGGACACCACCTCGGATAATCGAGACCTCGAATAAAGCAAACTCGGATAAACGGGGTTTTACTGTACAATATTTTACAAAAATAAAAATAAACAAAAATTATAAATAAAAAAACATGCACCTACACAGATAAAAAAAAATATAAATAAATAAATTTAAAAATAAATATATACAAAAATACACACAATTATTTACAAAAATATAAATACCAATTATAAAATAAAAAACACTGCCTAAAAAATATTCTCAAATAAATAAGTTTTAAAGTAAATATACAAAAAGAAACACAATTATTTACAAAAATATAAATAACAATTATGAATAAAAAACATGCACCTACACTGCTTAAGAAAAATTTTCACAAATAAATAATATTCTACAATAGTCGATAAAATAAAGATATAAAATATAAAGGACCCCGCAGGATTTACATTAGTTTTGGCTCTTAGTCGATTTTTGTGTAACTTTAGGATTTTATAGTTTTTTGCATTCTGAACAACTTTTTCCTTTGTCAAATTGCTAGATATGGAGCTGGTTTTAAGATACAAGCTATTGAAACCCTTAAAATCGTTAAACGCGGTAACTACCGGAGTTTCAGATTTGAACAGTTTAAAAAGGATTGAATATTGTTTTAAAAAAATAAAATTACATTTTTATGCACTCAAAAGTGCTTTTGATATTTCCTAGAAATGAACGGTAACAACGCATTTGGGGTTGCCACCCTTATGTCCAACAAACAATCCCCAGCATTTACATTCTCCGTAACTTATGTTCAAGATTCAGATGAATCTAATGTTTTCTAGGATTTTTTAATAATATGATTTCAGACAATTACAATTTATAATAAGAGATAAAGTCATTTACAAATCAACCCTTAAGATTAGAAACCAACCTCTTTACCTCAATCTTCATGCATTCAAAAGTCGCTTTTATCTCTACAGAAAAATGTGTACAATTGTTTAAGGATACACTTTCATTCAATTCTAATTGATCAAAAGTGATAACTACATTTAAAAAGCAGCCCTTTTGATTAATAATCAATCCATGCCACTTATTATTTGTGTAACGAAAGTAATGTCCTTTTTTAACACATTTTTTTATTTACTTATTTATATTTTTTATATTTTTTTTGGTTTTTGTCTTTTTTGTATTTCTAACAGAATTAAACAATTCTACACATTTTTCTATAGAGATAAAAGCGACTTTTGAATGCATGAAGATTGAGGTAAAGAGGTTGGTTTCTAATCTTAAGGGTTGATTTGTAAATGACTTTATCTCTTATTATAAATTGTAATTGTCTGAAATCATATTATTAAAAAATCCTAGAAAACATTAGATTCATCTGAATCTTGAACATAAGTTACGGAGAATGTAAATGCTGGGGATTGTTTGTTGGACATAAGGGTGGCAACCCCAAATGCGTTGTTACCGTTCATTTCTAGGAAATATCAAAAGCACTTTTGAGTGCATAAAAATGTAATTTTATTTTTTTAAAACAATATTCAATCCTTTTTAAACTGTTCAAATCTGAAACTCCGGTAGTTACCGCGTTTAACGATTTTAAGGGTTTCAATAGCTTGTATCTTAAAACCAGCTCCATATCTAGCAATTTGACAAAAGAAAAAGTTGTTCAGAATGCAAAAAACTATAAAATCCTAAAGTTACACAAAAATTGACTGAGAGCCAAAACTAATGTAAATCCTGCGGGGTCCTTTCTATTGATTTTCAGATAGTTGTTATTTTTGGCCTCAGTGGTTGTTGTCGGAAAGGAGAAATTTACTCAACTAAGATTAGTCATATGAAGAAGCAAGATCTATTTGGAGCTACTGTACTTGACACCAAAAACAAATTGCCTTGGAAATTTATTATAGATTTGAACTTCGCCCCGCTTGTTGAAAAATATATAGCGCTTTGTCCGTCAAATGTCCAAAGGGATAATATTTTTCTACAATACCATAATGGTAAATGTAGTACACAGGTAATTGGCATAAACACTATCGGCAATATGCCGAAAAAGATAGCTGTCTTCCTCTAATTAGATAATCCCGAGAAATTTACGGGACACTCATTTCGCCGAATCTAAGAAGGAAAATTCTGAATTTAAGTCTCAAAAAGCGCCCTCCAAGAAACTCAAAACTGTTGATTCTCAAAGTAATGATCAAGATTCATCATTCAAAAAAACTTTCGTATTAAGCAACTGCAATGTTACTATTACACTGAGAAAAAAAATTTAGAGTTTTCAACAAAATTGTTTGGTTAGGCAATTTTGGTTCGCTAAAACCAAGTCGTAGAGTTATCTCAACCAAACATTTAGTTAGGCCAATCAAATTATTTGGTTGAACATTTTTAAATTCCAACCAAACATTTAGTTAGGCCAATCAAATTATTTGATTCGCTCTCAGCTCATAGCTTATGAGAACAGTTAGTTTAAATCTCTCACAAGGATAGGTAGTCCAGTGGTCAGAGCTCCCTACCTTCAGTTTTAAAACAGAGGTTCGATTCCAGACGGAGATGAGATTTTTCAAAGTCAACAAATCTTTCAATTGGATAAATATAAACTCAATATCAAATTGATAATAAATAAATAATGAAATTAATAAAAAAGGTTAAAAGAAAAGAAATAAGGTAGAATAAAATTTTTAATTTTACAAAAAAAACTGTTTGTTTGATCAATTAAACATTTTTGTTAACCTAACAAAAAAAATTGGTTGTGCTAACCAAACATTTTTGTTATACGAACAAAAAACACTAAACCAAATTTTTTCGTTGACTCAAACAAATAGTTTGGTTGCTTAAATACCAACAAAATTTTTTTGTTGGCCCAACCAAATTTTTGTTCTCTGACTAAACATTTTTCTCAGTGTAATTACAGCAAATAGATGATGCATCGTATGTGCATCGTTGAAATGTTAAGACTGTTTTACAAATAAGACTACTTAGTTAGTGAAATTGTCGATCATAAAGATTTAAAAATTTTGTTTCAAAGATTTTAATATATCTATTAATTATAAGAAATAGATAATTTATAATATTCTTGTAATTTTCCAATTTTAAAACATTTAAAAATAAAAATACATGATATTTTAACATGTCAGCTAATTCAATATCATCATTACAGTTACTTTATAATTATCCTATTATAAAAACGTAAAATTAAGACTTACTCATTATAATGAAAATGTGATATTTGAAAAATATTAATTAAATTATTAATTTTATTTATTTATTCTTTTGAGTTAGATTTCTTGTAGTCGGGGGGCTTGGCCCTCCGAACTCCCCAACTCTCATGTAAGATTGATAGTGGTTTTTATTACACTCGCATATCCTATATTAGTAAAAGTTTCACGCCTTTTTTTATGACTTAGTTATAAAAAGTATTGTTTGTAACTTGTGTGAACGGCCGTTTTTGAATCTCGCGCCAGTTTTTGGACCTCGGCTCCGGAGCCTACAACTCGTTCCAAAAACGTGGGGCTCGTTCAAAAAGCGGCATCTGTTCACACTTGTTACGAAATGTACTATTTTTGGTTCGCTGCGTTGTGAGCTACAGATTTTCATAATTGCTTTTATTTTTTCAAAAATTTACAAATATTTTCTCTTGGTTGACGTTTTTTCACTCATTTTACAACTTGAACATACCCTGAATAAAATAAGGTTAGTTAATAATTAATATTAATTATTTCTGTACAAAAATATGATTTTACCGAAAAGCAGGATGTTCATTGAAGACCTTTCTATTTAGATGCACGCATATGTCAGCTTTCATATCTTTAGGGCAATAATTAAGCACTTTGTCAGTGTCTAGGCCTTTGGTCATCGCCCACGTGCTTACAACATAATCCATAACTCTCTCGCTAAGAGCTCTAGGCACCTCGTGAAGTTTCATAAATTCCCGTACATTATTTAGCATATCATGATATTTAGCTGTCGCTGAAGTCATCTGTTGAATGATGGTAGTCACGTGTCCAAAAATCGTGGCATACAACAATGCTTTAAATAGTAAAATAGATTAATAATTTTAACATAATACATTTTAGCATTTTCAGATACAATCCATTAAACAATTATACATAAGGTGATTTGTACTTTTTTATGTTAAATTCTGACTATCAACACAGATAGTACACAACATTTTGCAGAACGTTTGTAACAAATATAAAGCATGTTTATGATTAAAACTTGCATGAAGTTTACGTGACATAGTTCAAATTGAAACTGATGTGCTTTTTAATTTATCATGTGACCACAAAAACTATTTAAATATTAGATTCATAAAAGAAGACAACCCATTCGAAATTCCTTTGAGGATTTCTTACCAGTATCCCATAAAAAATTACAGGTGCCTCCGATGACAAATGAAACAGGAACCCTTGAAGGTAACCTGCAAAGGATCCTACATAAGATTCAATATTGAATGACTTGTTAATTCTATACAGAATTCTTTAAAAAAGTAACAAATTATTCAATACGGAATCCAGCGTGTAGCCAACATTTTTGATTAAGTGATTCCTCACGAGCCGATTTTCTTTGAATTACGCGCCTGCTTTGAGAGTCGAAAGAGGCGTTACGAACTGGAACAAGTCTGCGTAAAAAGAGGAGCAGACGGCTGAAGCGTTTTGGAGATTTTCTACATGTCGAATCCACATTTCAACTTAAGAAGCGAAGCAGAGCACTTTTCTGTGACTCTTCCAATAGTCCCCACTCCTAAAAAAACGTAGTCCCCAAGGAAATTCTTTCCACTTTTGCTTCTTAGGTCAAAGTGTTTATTCCCGAAAAGTTCTCGCGGAATCAGCGAGAGAGTCGCGATTGTGATTCTGAGAGCGTAGAGTTGTAGGGCATCGAAAGTTTGAGATTTTTTTGTAGTTTTTGAGAATTGTTTAAAGAGTTTTTGTTTTAGTTGGTCGAGTGACCAAGAGTACTGTAATTTTGTGTTAGTGGAGTTTTTTTGTGAATTTTGAGTAGTAAAAATAAAATATACCATTAAGTGGATTTTGGTATCGATTTTATTTATTGACCCGGGATTTATCTCCAGAAATCAATCAAAAGAGAAAGCTATGGATGATTCGATTATTGATAATGTGTTGTGTTCAGAAGGTCATTTTCCCTTTTGACTTGTCTTGACTTGACGGAATTTCTTTTGAGATTTTAAAAGAAATTTGAGTTGAGTTTTTGAGCGAGATTAGGGTATTTGAGATAAGTCTTTGGTTTGTTAATTCCATTAAAAATTGACTGGCGTCTGACAAATTATAATGTTTTTTTTCTTAATGTATCAAGGTAAATAGTTATAGTTAATAACACAGGTCTACAAAACAAGACTTTATTTTTAGTTGTCGGAGTGGTTTCCAATGTATTTTTGTCTGCTGAACACGATCATAGGTTCCAAAATTGCGTATCACGTCAGAATTTTGAGTAAAGAGGGGGTAAAATCTTTGAAAACAGTGTTTCCCACGTGAAAAAGTTCCCGGGAATTTCTCAGAAAAAATTCCCGCAAACTTGTTAACCCTTACGTGAAGCATTGTAGGTGTCTCTGAAACAAAAAACTTTTGTTTAAGGCGTAAAAAATTTTTGTAAGTATTTAAAAAGTTTCATTTAACACTAGGAAGTACCCAGAAGCATATTTAAAGTTTAGGTTAATCATATTTTGCATGTTAATTACTTATAGGAACCTATTCAAGGTTTCAGTCTGAGATCCAGGTAATTAATCGACATTTTCCAATGTATTAAACTGAAAAAATCAATAGTCGATTACTAGGATCTCTCCAGGTACTTCTCTAAAAGTTAGTTAAATTTCGATAACTTTTTCGAGGAAGAAAACCCTAAAATATGAAAGACGATCGCTACAAGAGATTTCCAGGTACCTATGATTACTCAGGGTAATTTTTCGTCAACTTCTGAAACAAGTTAACCTTAAAACGTGATAAATGATCACTAGGAAGTTTCAAAATATTTTCCTAGTGTTCAGGTCGTTTTCATAAACTTTTTCAGGGAAGTTTATGTTAAACAGCTCAATCGTTTACGAGAAGCAATTATCATATTACCTAAACTCAGTCAAAATCAAATATCTACAATTAACCTTCAAATATTTGCTCCTAGGTCAATTGATTTTTATCAACTGTCTCCGTCAAATTAAATTTAAATCAGTTAATTATTTATTCCATGTAATTTCAAACAAAAAGTTTTTATCATAATTAAAATTTTTTCTTCTGATTATTTATTTATCAATTTATATTTATATTTTTAATTCTTGAAAAACAACTAAAATATCTTCAAAAATATCGTTGATTTTTAATTTTTATTAAACTTTTATGTACAGACATTTACTAAATTACAGAATAAAACATTTTGATTAATTTTTTTTAACTATAAAACATTCTCGAAGTATTAAACATAACATACAAAAATACCAACAAAATTGTCTGAATTTGAAATTTCATAACCTAAACTTTAAATATGCTTCTGGGTACTTCCTAGTGTTAAATGAAACTTTTTAAATACTTACAAAAATTTTTTACGCCTTAAACAAAAGTTTTTTGTTTCAGAGACACCTACAATGCTTCACGTAAGGGTTAACAAGTTTGCGGGAATTTTTTCTGAGAAATTCCCGGGAACTTTTTCACGTGGGTTTTGAGGGTTTTCATTATTTTTTCTCCTTAACCCGACGTGCTAGACACTTCTATATATGCTTAAATTAATGCTTATATCATACACTTTAAGTCTCATATACACAAGATTTAAAAAAATTGAAATTTTAAAAAAACGGGGGTTAATATCCCAAAAACTGTAGTTTTAAGGTGTTTTCAGTGTTTTTTTCCCTAACTTAACGTACTAGAAACTACTATATAAACCTTAATTAAAGCTTATACCTTACATTTTAAGACTCATATACGCAAGATAAAAAAAATTTAAAAAAATTGGGGTAAGGCCCCCAAAAATGTATGTTTGAGGGTTTTCAGTATTATTTTCTTCTTAACCTGACGTTCTAGCGACTTTTATATAGGCTTAAATTAAAGTTTAAAATGTACATTTTAAGACCCATATGCGTAAAAAGAAAAAAATTTGAAATTTTGAAAAAATGGAGATAATGACGCCAACCCTAGTGAAAATAAACACGTGTAATTACACATGTCGATTTGGACATGTAAATATATGTGTAATACACATGTGAATACACGAGGAAAAGTTTTTACACGGGTAATAAATTTTTTCTTATGTATTTACACATGTAATTACACGTGTATATGAACTTTTTCCTTGTGTATCTACACGTGTATTTACATGTCCAAATCGACACGTGGAATTACACGTGTTTATTTTTAATAGGGAATAATCTTTGTGGGTGACTTAAACCTCATTTTTTTCAAAATTTTAAATTTTTTATCTTGCACATATGAGTCTTAAAGTGTAACATATAAGATTTAATTAAAGCCCATATAAAAGTCTCTATCACGTCAGGTTAAGAAGAAAAAAATAATGAAAACCCAAAAAAACCACTCTGATATCTCAAAAAATACCTTGTAGACCTGTCTAATTGAGAAATAAAAATCTATTCAATTCGTTATACTCTTAAGGGCAACTATTTTATTTCTCATAGGAGGCAACTGTAAGTTTTTAAAAATATCCTACATGGAATACTTGTAAAGAAGCGTTAACCCTTTCAGAAATATATTTTTTTATTCAACTAAGTTTACGGATCGATTTACCCTTAAAGGTTTTTGCGGTCGCTGATCATGAATCTGAAATCCATTTTTAAAATTTAAAATGGCAGATCCAATATGGCCGACAAATTTTAAAAAATTTATCGGATTCTTTTGAAACTCGTTACTTGGGGGTTTTCCGGGTCGCTGATTACGAATCGGAAGTTAGTTTTTCAAAATTTATCTGAAACTTGTTACTCAGGGTTTTCTGATTCGTTGCTTACAACTCTAAAGACGGGTTTCAAAAATTGTAAATGTATCCAATATGTCAGACAAATATATTAAAAATTGGTTTGTAATCTTTTTTATTTCACAATGACAACGCTTACAAACCAAATTGACAATCGGAGCACAGATTTTCAATTTTTTCCATTCCTGATACAGCGAAAACCCTCGAGTAACGAGTTTTAAACGAAACCGATCAATTTTTAAAATAATTTCCGCCAAATTGAATCCGCCATTTTGAATTTTTAAGACGGATTTCAGATTCGTAATCCCCGAAAACTCGTTTCAAACGAATCCAGTCGATTTTTAATTTTTTCATCCGCCGTATTGGATTTGCCATTTTGAATGTTCAAAAACTGATACCAGATTTGTAATCAGCGACCCCGAAAACCTCTGAGTAACCAGTTTCAAGTCAATCCGGTCAATCTGTAAATTTTAATACAAGAAAAATGTAAGTGAGTCTCTGAGAGACCCAGCATGACGCAAAGGGTTAAATGAATTTCCAATTGGGGAACGTTCACAAATGATGTCACGAACTGTGGGGTAGAGAGAGTCTATGGCAAACGTCACACAATGTATGTTTTCTAAAAGAAAATATAGTAAAATAGCGTGACAAAGGGGAAGGTAGGGGTCAAAAATCTTTAAAAAGTGCGTGTTATCATTTGTGAACGCTCTCTAGGATAATAAAACAAATTGACTAAAAATAGTAGAATGTTCTGCTTCCAAATGTGACAGTTTTATTTTGTGGCAAAAAAGAAAAAACAGGTTAAAGGGTGATGGTCTTGAGTATCACAGCTTGAAACAAGTCAGTTAGTAATTTAAATTTAACTTAGGTAAAATAGTTTTTAATTCTTCTTCGAAAGTGACCATCAGCGCCAATATGAACAAAACTGTTTCTTGCACACAAGTAAAAAAACGAGCAAAATGTCAGTATCACAGTTAAGAGTCACACAAAATTGTAAAATAATTTTTTAATAAACACAAAAATTTACTTTCCACTTTGTAAACTTTATTTAATCGTGTTTATTTGTGCATACCCTGGCGGAGTATGAAAACTGAAAAGTTGACTGA